AGTTCGCATTGCAGGGCAACTAAAGATATTACTTTTTCAGAAGGTAGGCTCTCGCTCATTTTAGCTCATTTTGTGTTTCCGTAAGTAATATCTTAGATAAAAACATTTCGCTCGATTAAGTATACTGGGAACAAATTAAGTGACGGTTACGGTACCCACCCAGCGACGAGTTATGGTCAGACTTCTTGAAAGCACGAGAAAAATTCCAAGCTGTCAGTCAATAAAAGATTGTCCCCGTATGCGTCTGCTATCTGGTGAAACTAGTCCCTATTTTTGTTAGGCGTTTCGGGCTATTATCCATCATTGCCACTGATATGGTCTTTTGTTGAATTTCACGGTTAATAAGAACTAGTGATTAATCGACTAGTTAAGTAAAGCCTCTGCAAAATAAAACCTAAATTTTTTGTCCTCCGTGTTGAGTCAGTTTTTTTAAACTTTATGGCATGTAAAGGGAAATTTTTAAAACGTTAATTTACTTTTAAACCGATATTACTGATTCTTATGCGTGCTCAAATACTGGATTTCTATGCGTGAAACCTGTTCGTGTCCGTTGCTTTATTACACCATGTCTTCAGAGGGATAAACAGAAATGCGTCAAGGTTAAATGCATACTCTCCAGCCAAGGTTGGTCTTGTATAAACTTAATCCGCTTTGAAAGCACGCATGACCTTAAGTTGCATAAAGCGACTAACGTTTCTAGTGGCCAAAATGTATCGTGTCTACATGCAATACGGCGCGCATTGTTTGGGTCAGATGACCTCAGCTAGTGCGAATACTAGCCTATCCTTTACACTTAACCGATCCGTTTGTAAGCTATTTAAATCATTCATGTAAGCAAGTCAAAAAGGCGAGAGCAGTTGGACTGCGGAAGAAACCGGAGGGCCTGACTTCATCATTTCGTGAGTCTGGCGCACGCAGACAGCGCACAGAAAGTCCCTGTTTAAATATAAAAAATGCAATTTCCCTTTTTTCATAGCTCTGGAGAGGTTTGCGTAACTTCACAGGCGGGCGGTTTACTTTGAATTCAGTAATAAACCTCCATTAATTCATTGACAGTTTATCAGTTGTAGGGGACCATTTCAATGTTCATGCGTGCACACGCTGTAAACACTAATAACATACGCCTACAGGCCACTTCTGCGTTGGTTTCTTTTCCCGCCCGCCACTCCTTCCAACACCCATCAGCCTGTCCCCTCAGTAAACATATGCCCTGCTGTCGATATTGGCCCAGGAGCTTAGGCCTAACTTATTTGCGTTGTAACAATAGAGAAAAGAGCCTCGTCTCTGACCTCTGCGACATCTCGCCGCGTGGGCGTTGGTTGACCTACGGAATAACCCTAGCAGTTCATGCATCCAAGCGACTTCGGCGAGGTAGATACTGGGTTTTCACAAGTTGTTAGCAGCCTGCAGTGTACTACATGCCGCTAAAATCTCTAAGTAGGCGGGAAACACTTATAAAGTCGTGTTGCGGCACCTCCTCCATCAGGCGTAAGTCGCATATTCAGTCCAAATTCCAGGATTAAAAATATAATCCTGTGACCCGAACATAACAAACCGTTGACCCATTGCTATCGAATCGGCACCGCAACGTAAGTTAAGGAACCTACCAGCACGTGTAACCCTACTGGGTTCTGATTGCTTTGCCTGCTGCTCGTGGCAATAAGTGTGGTCAATGCGAAGGCGATAAAGTATGCAGATATTGATGACGTCAACATTTCGTGACCGCTTATTCCACTGCGTTCGGTCATTGCCTGTCGACGGGATGAGATAATGGCAACAGTCCACCGATCGCTAACGGAGCTCACTCGTCCCGCTCTGCCTTGAGTTTCATTCTGGGGTCCTGATGGCAGTTACAAAGCTAAGCAGATAGTATTGTATCACGATCATCATCTCCCAAAGGTAAGAAAGGAGAAGAGCAGACGGGTTCATGGACCAAATCATATTTGAACTGACGTTTAGAAAACTTTCTCGCTTCCATCGTAAGGATGTTGTTGTAACTGCGTCTAGTGGTCTTAAGTTAGCCAGCCTTACAGTCTGCCTCAAGTTATATCGGTGTTGCCCGTTTGTTGCCGACCGCATTTGGTCTCCCGGAGGTTGGCTGGTGGTGGCCTTGCGTGACCTTCGTCCCCTCTACGGTCAGCGTAGTTGTAAGTTAGTCAATATGCCTGCTGGCCTCCCCCATGTCACCCAGCGGACTGATCACCCGTTGCTGTTCACTTGGGTTGTTCTTTGCCTCACGGTTGTAACGGTGAGACAGTGTTTGATGTTGGTGGCGTGACCTCCGACCTCCACTCCTAGTTTTCGTGGGCGTTGGCTCTCGGTCCTGTGTACTCATTTGGCCTACTGGCTCTGGCTACCAGGCACTTCGCACAAGGCTCGGATCAAGTCGGAGGTAGACACTCACCGGCATTTTGGCTGAGGTGTTTATGCATGAAGGGCTTTTCTGGAATGGCGATGCGTATTGATGAATGGACATCTCCCAAAAAACTTTCTTCAGGAAATTGACCTTGTCATCGAGCGTATTTGAGGAACAAATTCTAATGGATATATTGAACACACACACAAATCAAGTTTCGTTTTCTCCGAATTTAAACGATACGTAGGCATTGCATGCACTAGACGTTTCAGGTGCTTTTTCCGAAATCAGACCAACAGTTCATATTAAATTTATTTATCACGTTTTACCGCGCTAGGTCGATATTTTATGACGTCATCAATGTGTTTTGTTCGAAAACAACAGTGCTTCCGAAGGTTCTGTACCTGTTTGGCCGGATAATCGATGCTTCGTACGGCAGTTCGTTTGGAGTTTTGTCTCACGTTGTTGAACGTTTAGAAAATACTTTATGGCTTAGCAGGGATTCCTGTTTATTAAAATTCGATGGAATATAGTAAATCAAACAAATACTTTGAAGTGTGCCAGCCCACCCACTGAGGAAAGCCACAGCCGAAGCAATTAGGGTCAAGTCTGGTATTTCGTCGGATGATGGCAATTATCCGGATGGGAGGAGGCTGCGTGCCGTGTAGTTGATGTCCTAGGCAGCGGCAGTTAGTAGACAGATGAGGGCGTAGACTGGTGAGGCTATCCATACCTGATAGTGTTCGTCTGTTAACTATGCTGTTTCTATAAATGCGTGGGATGAAGTCAATGATCCTTAGCTCCGGTGCTCATGCACTGCATTCCACAAAGCATGTTCGTCGTCACGCACATTCTCTCTCCCTCCGAAAACTTATACTCATCCCTCTTTAGATCTGTAAATGTGGTCACTTGAACTGTAGGGGCAACTCCCGTGCATATTGCAAGTTAAACGCTTGATTACTCTGATGCGTTCGGACACGCGCGTACGCATTCTAACATAGAACACGAAAGCTTTGTGCGAATGCAAACATTCTGAATTAAATAATTTGGAAATTGCCCAAGTATGGCCTCGAAAACATATAAAATTGTTTTCTATTAGACGTGGATTTTGTTTGGTGCAGATGAAAAAAATTAGCGAAAGGATGTTATTGCCGGAGAAAAAA